GCACAGAGCAAGGTTTTCAATAGTTGCATCTGATTGTCCAAATTTACCAATGAGCCCTCGAGTCCAAAGAGCCAATCCGGTTCTGACTTTAAGTGGCATTACAATGTTTTTTCCACAGTGATTATCTTGATTAGAAATTCGTGAGTCTAACAGCCTCAGGGGTAGAAGCTGTTCCTCAGTCTAGTGGTTCTACACTCAAAGCTCCTCAACCTCCTTCCTGAGGGGAGCGGGGCAAAAAGTGTGTGTGCAGGGTGAGTGGGGTCCTTCATGATGCAGGTGGCCTCTTCCTGCATCTGGAGGTGTAGATGTCTGTGATGGAGGGGAGACTGACTCCAACAGTCTTCTGTGCAGCCTTCACCACTCTCTGCAAAGCTTTTCTTTCTGCAGCTGTGCAGCCTCCATGCCACACGTTGATGCTGGAGCACAGGATGCTCTCCACTGCACACCTGGAGAAGGAGGTGAGGACTGAGCTTCCCAGAGCAGCTCGTCTCAGCCGCCTGAGGCAGTAGACAGTTATCTGACACTGAACAGGCATATCTAGTTTGTTTCTTTTGTTTTCTTTAAATATGTATTTTTATTGGTTAAGTAATGCATGTAGTTTTTTGGGTTATAGTGTGTTCAGTATTGCATTTGTTTTATTGTTGCCTTGCCTTTTAGATTTATTTTCTGTGATTTATTTGTTTCTTTCTGTTTTACAGTGAAGCACGTTCTTGACTTGGTGTAAATCAGTATAAGAATTAGGGTAAGGCATTGCATTTTTTAAATTGTTAATTTACTTGACTTGTATGGTTGCAGTGTGTCCAGCAAGTTTCATTTCCTCAAAATACAAACAGCTCAAAGTTTTGGAAGACTGAATTTTAGTGTATTAACTCCAGAAATGAGAAAGAGAGAAAACAACAAAACTCAGATACCTCTGCACTTTAGTTTATTTGCAGCAATTATTTCAGCTAGTTATTTATTAACATATGTATCTGATTTATTTTTAATGAAGTGACACCAAAAAATCTGCTTTTTTATTCTGATACATTTCTGTGCAACCTCTCTTTAATTTTTCCACTGAACTCTTAAACTGGTCACATTGTGGTGATATTTTAATTTGATTCATGTCCATGAATAATACGATTTGAGCAGAATACATATTAAATGCGTAGACAATTTAAAAATTATATTTAAAGATAAGTATGCTTTATTTGTTAATACATTTTTCCAATCTTTTTGTTTTGCATCATTATATACGCTGTCATTCGAGAAACATGTACATCTTTTTGATTTAGACTTCTCACAACAGAAACCACGACTGAAAACTTGTGTTTAACACTTAGAGGCAGATTCACACACATCAAAATCACATGTGAGACAAAATACCAAAGAGTGAGTTACAGAGCTGCAAAGGAAGGGAGCCAGTGAGTCAGAGAGGTGAGTTCGGTGAGAGGGAGAATAAGACGTCCTGTGTCTGCAGGACCTGGAGAGAACAGGTGGTGTTATGATTTCAGCACATTGCTTTAGAGGCTGCTTTGCACAAATGTTCATCTAAGCGTCCAGTTAGCGGTTACCTCAGCAGATGCTTGCAGAGAAGAGCCTCTCAGCAGGACGCCTGAGATCATCAATAACACAATAAACCTGTGCACCTTCTGCAGCTTGGAGACCGACAGACAGTTTATGAGACGGTCGGTTGTAGATCAGCTGGATACCTCTGAATATATACAAATGACTTTTCTTCATCATCAGCTTTTCATACTGTATATATTTATCCATCCATTCATTATCTTTACCCTTTTCTTCCATTTTGGGTCACAGGGGTCACCGGTGCCCATGTCCAGCAATCACAGTGCGAGGGGCGGGGTACACCCTGGACGGGTCGTAAGTCCATCACAGGGTCACATAGAGACAAACGAGACAAACAACCATTCACTCTCTCACTCACACCTAGGGACAATTTAGAGTTACCAATCAGCCTAACATGCATGTGTTTGGTCTGTGGGAGGAAACCGGGGCACCCGGAGAAAACCCACGCATGCACGAGGAGAACATACAAACTCCACCCAGAAAGGCCCCTGGACCGGGGTTTGAACCAAGGACCTGCTCGCTGAGAGGCAGCAGCTCTACCAGTTGCACCACTGTGCTGCCTAAATATATATGCAATACATGTAAATAAAATATACAACAGATGTAGATATGTAAACATATAGATGTAAATTATTTCCAATTTTATCTAGATGGTTCTTATTTTGGTTTGTTTGTTTGTTTCATGACCACTAACTCTCAAATGCTTTTTATTTATTTGAAGTTGAAATGTTCAATTTTGATGTTAGTTGTTGTGCTTAACCCTCCTGCTGCCTTTGGGTCAAAGTGACCCATGATTCCTGAGTTTTAAAACTGAAACTGATGTCTATATGTATTTTGTAGTTTGACTTTTAAAAATATATTTTCATGACAAATAGCTTTATTTCATACTCTTTGCTTCACACCACAGCTGTCTGGTAATTCGCATCAACAATTTATCGTGTTAAACAGACAGTGATCAATAAATGCAGTTTGAATTAGCATCATTAATTGTTCACAATAGCAGTAAATGTTGTCAAGGGTAATGTAGTTTTGGCAGATTTTACTAACACTTACAGCCTTAATTTAGCAACAAATCAGTGACTGTAGCTCATATTCTTTACTGATTGACTTCAAAAATACCAGATGAGGTGGGGAAAAAAACAAAACAGAAACGACTCACTAAACTGTACTAAAATCATATAAAACTTTTAGGTAACACATTTATTTGATGCAGAGACTGGACCCTACCTCTCGCCTGGTGGAGACAGGCACCAGCTCCCAATGATCCTGTATGGAAATAAAATGGATTGAGATGATTTAATATGTGCAGGTTTTTGTGGTTTTAAAATTATCCAAAAATACCTTTAGATGATAAAGAATATATGATATTTTACACCTTGTTATCCCAAGCTAATAAAATTTGCAGAAGCAGTCAGTGGAAAATATTCGGTACAATAACACATTCAGTAATGTTTAGAGTCATTTTATTAATCACCAGTAACTTCACTTAATTGTTCTTTTTGTAAACTCATCAGTCAGATTTTATGGTAGAAGAACTTTATATAAATATCACACTGTTGCTTAAACTTCTTCAGGTTTGTGAGCATTTATTCATGTCATCCTCTTATTGTCCCATTACAGCAATTTAGTGGGGCTGTGGGCTGGACTTTGACTGAACCATAGCTCTGTTTTAGAGTCCTATTTTTTCTTTTTGGATCTTTGTCTCTTTGCACTTGGATGTTCAGAGGAATTCTTGTTTAGCTTAATGATTGCAAAGTCCTCAGGTCTTGTGGCTGGACAACAAACCAAAATCACCACTCTCCCTCCATCGTGCTTCACAGCACATGTGAAGCTTTTATGTTGACATGTTTGAGTGTCTTCACTCACGATGTTGTGTGAATCATCCCCACCCGGGTCTTGTCTGTTCAAAGTGTTCGAATTTGTTCCCATGCAACAATGGAAATCTCAGTTGTGCTGCTATAAATATATTGTTTTTCAGTAAAAAGAGGTTTTCTCTTGGCAAAAAACCTTGACCAGTTAAAAAATGGTAAGGCTTGTTTAATTTGAAAAGTAGTTTTTCACAGTTTATACTCAATAATTTCTGGCATTGTCATCGTGAAAAATGTCTGAAAAAAAATCTGGAAAGATTAATTCATCCACAATACAAAGGTTTTCATCTGGTCTGTTCTTTTGGACACACATGAAGCAATTGTTGAGCATAACACTGCTCCCACAAATGCACTGTTACAGTAATTTCTACATATTACCCAGTGTCTATTCTGAATCCTGCACAGCTACAACAGATATCACATAAATAGTAAAATGTACATCTAGGCATAATAATAATCAGGGTGCTCTTTAATAAATAGTTGAACGCTCTAATCTTGGTAAGAAAAGCAGCACATTCATTATTTGAACATTTGGTCTACTTTAAATTCATGGACAAATTATCCGGTTCCATCATCACCACTTTCACAGCGTTGGCAGAAACACTCAATTGCTTCTCACTGTCATAACGATCCATAAACTGTGCTGCCCCCACCATATGCCCTGTTCGCAAAAAACGAAAAAAGCCCCAAATTTATTAAAATAAAATGTTAAGGGTTTTTTTTTCATCCTGCATGTGCATAATAAACATCTCTGTCAGCACGCCTTCCAGCATTTACAAGTCCAGAAGTTTTCTATCCAGGTCCAGATTTTTTTTTTTTTTTTAATATTTAACTCTAACAGGTGATCTATTCAAGACCATACAGTTTTTACCTGGCATCTGGAAGCACTGAAGGTGTGGGAAAACAGCTGGAGGTCTTGGTAACATTTTCTTTCTTCCTTTTTCAAAGTTAAATTTAAGATAAATTTAATAAATATTAAAAATCAATAAGTTTAAAAATGGTCTTTCATCACCTTTTGATTTAAAATGGTGACAAATATTTTGTTATTTGAACTGGTTCATACATTTGTCACGTCTAGACTGGACTATTGCAATGGTTTGTTATCTGGGTGTCCAAATACTTCTTTAAAACATCTTCAGTTAATCCAAAATGCTGCTGCCAGAGTCTTAACTGGAATTAGTAGGAGAGATCATATCTCTCCAGGTTTAGCTTCTGTCCATTGACTCCATGTCAAATTCAAAATCCATCCATCCATCCATTATCTTTTACCCGCTTCTTCCATTTTGGGTCATGGGAGTCGCCGGTGCCCATGTCCAGCAATAACTGTGTGAGGGGCGGGGTACACCCTGGACAGGTCTCAAGTCCATCACAGGGACACATAGAGACAAATGAGACAAACAACCTTTCACTCTCTCACTCACACGATTTCAGGTCGTTTCCTTTTAAATTACCTAATATTTTTTTAACAAACGAGACGGCGTCCGAGTAAAAGGGCAGATATTTCAAAGCTGAAGTTTACAGGAATATTTAATTGCACTTATTTGAGAGTTGGCTAATAGCTTGAATATGCAAAACTATGCAGAGGCTGTTAAGGACTTTGTAGAGAACCATGTGACTGGGCTCATGGTAGCATTTGTGACAGGGGTAGGCGTGTTGGACTTCCGAAGATGGATGGCAGGCGGAGCGTGTCGGAGCAAGGTCAGGCTGGATGGCAAAACGGTCCTGATCACAGGAGCTAACACTGGCATTGGGAAGGAAACTGCTATGGACATGACTCAGAGAGGGGCCAGAGTAATCTTGGCCTGCAGAGATATGACCAAAGCCCGGATCGCAGCAGAAGAGATTCGTCAAAAGAGTGGGAATGGCAATGTGATGGTGAAGAAACTGGACCTCGCCTCCCTGCAGTCTGTCAGAGACTTGGCTAAAGATGTCCAGGAGAACAAGGACCGCTTGGACGTCCTGATCAACAATGCAGGCATTATGATGTGTCCTAAGTGGAAAACTGAGGATGGTTTTGAAATGCAGTTTGTTGTAAACCACTTGGGATATTTTCTCCTCACCAACTGTCTCCTTGATTTGCTGAAGAAGTCTGCTCCAAGTCGCATTGTCATTGTCTCAAGCCTTGCACATGACAGAGGTCGAATACATTTTGATGACATTAACCTTGATAAAGAATACAAACCAGAAAAGAGCTACTACCAAAGCAAGCTGGCAAATGTTCTCTTTGCCAGAGAACTGGCTGCAAGGCTGCAAGGCACCGATGTGACCGTGTACAATCTTCACCTTGGGGTCATCCGCACAGAGTTAGGCCGCCATTTGTTTCAAAACATGGCTCTGTGGAAAAGGATTTTGTTTTCAGTCCTTATCTTTTTAATTAAAAATCCCTGGGAAGGAGCCCAAACCACCATCTACTGCACTGTGGACGAGAGTGCTGCAAACCAGAGTGGCCTCCGCTACAGTGACTGTGCCCTGAAAACACAGGCACCTTAGGCTCTGGATGATGCTGCAGCCAAGAAGCTGTGGGACCTCAGTGCCTCCATGGTTGGACTGGCTTAAACTAAATACAGGAGCCTATGATACTCCTACAGTGTCTACCAAATTCAAAATATAATTCAAAATCTTACTTCTAACCTACAAAGCCCTCAACAACCTAGCTCCATCTTATATTTGAGATCTTATTGTTCCATATTTTCCTAACTTGTGGTCCCTAGAGTTTTCAAAAACAGAATGGGAGGAAGATCTTTCAGTTATCAGACGCCTCTGTTGTGGAACCAACTTCCAGTTTCTGTACGTGAGGCTGACACATTGTCCAGTTTTAAGACTTTCCTTTTTGATAAATCCTATAATTAGGGTCGGCTTGGTATGCTGCCTTAAGCTTAGACTACTGGAGGACAAAGTGACCTCATTTACTTAAATTAATTGTTAAAATTGAATAGTTTTTATTTGATACTATTTCTATCTTAACATGTGATTCTTGACCTGCCATTGTGTATCTGTTCCTCTTTCCTGTTCCTCTCAAACCAGCTGGTCAATGCAAATGTCCTGAGCCTTGTTCTGCTAAAGGTTTCTTCCTCATGAAGGAGTTTTTCCTTTCCACTGTAACCTTCATGCTTGTTCAAGATAAGAGTTCTGTGATGGAGTTAAACTCAAAGCAGTCTGCTCCTCACATAAATAATGTTAAATTATTATTTTTATAAATGAATGTTTCTGTTCTGTGCCCTGAGATGACTTCTGTTGTGGCTTGGCGCTATATAAATATGTAGTGAACTTAATCTGGTGTCACGACTAAGCCTAAGGTCAAAACCCTTGACCTTAAGAACCTTGTGGGACAGAAACTGTCATTTCATTGATTTGAATCCAGAGATACAGGTTCACCCATCCTGAGACTTTCTTTCTTGAAAATTCAAGTGGAAGAACACTCTCTTTTTATTATCATTACTATTTTACAAATGTTGATAATCAAAGTGTCTTAGTTCAAACCATTTTAGATGTTGCAGTGAACTAATCAATTTTATTAACTGTGTAATGATTTTTAATTCTCATGCAAAGTTAGAACTCATGTTAAAGCTATTACAGAGTAATTATGCATTTTCTGATTTCTGTCTGTGAATGAGCAAAGTGTGCGTTTCAGGGTCAGGAGTCGAAGCAGACATGCGTTGGAACAACTGTCCTGTTTATATCCTCTCAGACGTCAACAGGGGGGTTTTTGGCACCTGTTTCTTAAACTCGCCAAAACAAAACTCTCTCTGTCTGTGAGAACATTTCTGATCTGTTCCATAACAATTCTTGCTGCATTCTAACCTTTTACGTAACAAAACACACCCCGTCTGGTCGGTTCTGGCCAATGGGAATACTCCCAGATGAACCGGGAAAAGAGTTCTTTAAAATGTCGGTACTTCCTGGTTTAACCAGTTCTGTGAGGGTTCTGTGAGGGTTCTACTCGGTTCGGTTGAGTTCAGTTCTGTTCAGTTCTGTGCGGAGAAGCCCAGTTCTGGGAGCCGGGAAGATCCTGACATGACAACAGAGCTCTTCCGAGTTTCATGGGATTATAACATTTTCCACTGAGGTGAGCTGTGAGGGACAGAATCTCACCGCTACTCCGGACGAGTAACAGCATCCTACGGAGACGCTGAAGGGTGCGTTAAACGGAATCTCGCCTGAGACATCTCCAGGTAAAAGAGTCGATTTCACCACCTAAGTGTACTGTAAGGAAAAGCTGAAGAAAGCCTGGAGAGTGCCGTTCTGTCAACACACTCCCTCAAACACCATCTTACTCCCTCTAAACTTCTTTCCCATCTTTAAACTCTTCTATCAAGTAGATATTCTTCCAGATATTTTAGAAATGTCTGTGTAAAGTGCTCATCCACATCCGTGTGGGTAAAAGATCATAATTGTACAGTTTTCATAAATGTCTGTGGTGACGCAACGGAAAAATCATGGCCGTATGATTTTTCCTGATTGATTGCTTATGTTGTTATTTTCATAATTTGCCAAATTAATGTAAATGTTTGATGTTAAACTTTGATTCTGTAAATAAATGACCGCATTCATTTTGATGGGTCAAATATAAATGACGTCTCACGTTTGCATTTCATTAAATTCAATGCACGTTTTATTCAGTTCAGAAAAATGAGGAATCCGTGTTAATTGATGAATATATCTGAGCATCTGTTCATCTACAAATAAACTGAATTGAAATAAATTGAAGTTTAAATTTGAACTAATTTCTAATAAAGTACACTATACAGTATATGCCAGTGGTGATTTTAGTCTCTTTTGAGGCTGCTCAAGCACCCCTACATTTTAACTCAGCACCCCTGAAAAATAAAGTTAAAAAAAAAAAAAATTGGGATGGGGGCGCAATTCTAGGATTGGGTTTTGGGTTCTGTTTATTGTTGCATTTATGATTCAATGCAACAATATAAACAAATTTAAATGGTAACAGATCATTGTAATACTTGGTTTATTTACATAATAACTTTAATTGCTGGATGTCCGGCCCCTGAACTGCTGACTTTCAGTAACTGTGGCCCCCTGAGCAGTTTAGTTGAATAGCTATGCTTTAGAGGATGAAATACAGTTTATTCCGTTTCCAAAACCTAAACTGAGTCTGGAAAAATGTAAGATGGATAAAGAACTGTGGCCGACCTCATGAGCAGCCGAATAGGATACACATGAAGTACCGCATGTTCATCTGCACGAAGGTTTATACTGTAAATCCTCTGTCTAAATAAAGGTTGAATTAATAATTACCTTGTATTCTTAATGGTTAAATTAAAGGTTAATGCTTAAAGCTAGTTGCTCTTTGTTTTGTATGTAGATATAGCTATTTTTTTAACTTCTGGTTAGTCTTTGTTTGTTATGATCAGTTAACACTACACTGATTTTGTGCAAAGCGTTTATTAGGTTGTGTAATGTAAAGCAGAGTGCTAGGTCTGTAGCATCTTAGCTAGCGTGCCTGTATTGCACGTCGCTAGCTTAGCGTTACTTCTTGTTGAGACGAGCTCTCTAAAATAGTTATTGAATCAAGTGTTTACTTAAGTGGGTAAATTAAAAATAGACCAGAATGCAGGAAATGGCATTTACTTAATTAAAAAATTCTGGGGGAGGACCCCCAGATCCCACCGCCAGTGTGTCCCCACCAAATGCTTATGACACCAATACCACGTTGTTCAAGCCAAGAGCCATTGTCAGCACTGGGGGCTAAGTGCCCCTGAAGGTCAGATTCTAGAATCGCCCCTGGCATCTGCATTTGCCTTGAAAACAAACATGTTGAGCCATTTTTAAAAGTTACATTTAGAACATAATAAAATGTGAATATTGTATTTTTTTTTTATGGTGCACTTACAATATCTGCTAATAAATGTGTTTCTGTTCTTTAAGTGGACAAAAAAAAAAAAGCAATGAGCTCATTAAGTTAGGATACAAAACATTAAATTAAAATGCACAGCTGCACTGTTTTTATGTCAGTGTTGCTCAAAGAACACATGAATACAGAAACATTAAATAATTGTCCCTGCAACAAAAGAGAGGTACAGCAACTATATTTCTGGACGAAATACAAAATCTGACATTTAAATGGAAACATACCAAGAACACAAAGTGATAGTGTAAGAACGTGGTGCATGAACCAGTTTCCAGGAGTTGTTGTTAAATTGTTGTTATTTTTAAACAAACCTCCACTTATGCTGATATACTTTTAATTAGCACGTGGAAAAAGTCTCCACACAAAGCTCGAGTTCTATCTTCAAGACAATAATAATGGAAATGGGGAAAATTAAAAAGGATTAAAGCAGAATAAGACATCAAAAACTGTTAAATTACAACGAGCAGCTGCAGACAGCTGAGAACTGCAGGACAGAAAGGACATGAAGAGATGGGGAAAAGAAAAAAAAAAACTTTGAAGAAGGGAAAGGTTAATTGTAACTAAGAATACTTATGACTCTTTACATTTATCATTTGCCAGGACCCCTCTTAAAGTTCTCTGACCTTTTGTTTGCCGCTGAATAAAACCTATGAAATAAATCACAGAGTGGCACACCTCGTCCGTCTCTCCTGCTATTTCTTGTGTATTTACTTGTGTATTTATTGACACTGGGAGTCCACGTGGAATCGCTCTTTCTCTTTAGCTCCTCCACTTCTATCGTTTTAGGCACCAGTGTTTCTTTCTCTCTTTTATGAACCCCAGGTCTGCATTAATAACACTGACACTCCATAAGAGTGTGAGATAAAGGAAAATGAAGATGGGAACCAGTGTCTCTCAATGTGCACACTTCATCATACACCAGACAGCTGCTGGAACGAGGGGGAGGAAGGAGGAGAAGAGACGGAAGGAGGCAATAGAAAAAGATGGCTGAGGTCAACATTCGGGCGGCTGCACATAAGAGAGGAAAGGGGAGAAGAAGAAACTACCTGGATTATTGTCGGAAACAACCAGCTGAATGGTCTTCTGTGAAACGTGGAAAAGAACTGGAGAAAGTTGGCAGCATATCCTGATGCATGCTCAATAATCCAGGTAGAAAAATCTAAAAAAGTTAAATCTGGTCCTCTGGACATTCAAAAAAAA